TGATCCCAGGATCTGGGGATGGGTCTGCACTGAGCATGGAGCCTTCTTAAGATTCTCTCTCTCTCCCCCTCTGCTCCTCCCCAGCTTGCACACGTGCACACGCATGCTCTCTCTCTCTCAAAAATAAAGTTAAAAACAAACAAATATTAAAATTCACATGTAATTGCAAAGGATCTTCGATACCCAAAAGAATCTTGAAAAGCAGAGCAGATGGAGGACTACCACTTCCTGATGTCAAAGCTTACTACGAAGCTATGGTAATCACAACGTAGCACTGTCCTAAGAACAGACATACAGACGACGAACTAGGAGAGACATACTAAGATTAGTATCCAAAACCTATAAATAACTTATCAAACTCAACACTCAAAAAACAAATAATCCAGTGAAGAAATGGGCAAAAGACATGAATAAACACCCTTCCAGAGAAGACATCCAGAAAAATGTTCAACGTCACTCATCATCAGGGAAATAAAAATTCAAAACCACAACGAGAGACCACCTCACACCTGTCAGAGTGGCCAACGTCAACTCAGGCAACAACAGGTGTGGGCGAAGTCGCGGAGAAAGAGGAACTTTCCCGCGCCGCTGGCAGGAATGCAAACCGCTACAGCCACTCTGGAAAACGGTGTGGAGGTCCCTCAAAAAATTAAAAATAGAACCACCCTATGACCCAGCGATTGCACCGCCAGTATTTATCCAAAGGACACAGGAGTGCTGACTCAAAGGGGCACATGCACCCCAGTGTTTATAGCAGCACTATCGACAACAGCCAAAGTATGCAAAGAGCCCAAGTGCCCACAGACTGACAAATGGTTTTTAAAAAATGTGGTATGTGTTTATATACCCAATGGAATATTACTTAACAATGAAAAAGAATGAAATCTTGCTATTTGCAACCATGTGGATGGAACCAGAACGTGTTATGCTAAGCAATAGAAGTCAGTCAGAGAAAGACAAGTATCATATGATTTCACTCATATGTGGAATTTAAGAAACACAACAGATGAACCTAAGGGGAAGGGAAGGAAAAACAAGGTAAAAATAGAGTGGGAGGTAAACCATAAGAGACTCTTGAATACAGAGAAGAAACTGAGGGCTGCTGGTGGGGAGGTGGCAGGGGTGATGGGCTGACGGGGGGATGGGCATTGAGGACACTTGCTGGGGCGCCTGGGGGGTTCAGTCGGTTGAGCGTCCGACTTCGGCTGAGGTCATGATCTCACGGTTCGTGAGTTCGAGCCCCGCGTCGGGCTCTGTGCTGACAGCTCAGAGCCTGCAGCCTGTTTCGGATTCTGTGTCTCCCTCTCTCTCTGACCCTGCCCTGCTCACGCTGTCTGTCTCTCTCAGAAATAAATAAAAACATTTTTAAAAAATTAAAAAAGAAAAAGAAGAAAGGAGGACACTTGTTGGGGGCGTCCGGGGGCTCAGTCAGTTAAACATCCAACTTCAGCTCAGGTCATGATCTCACGGTTCATGAGTTCAAGCCCCGCGTCAGGCTCTGTGCTGACAGCTCAGCCCTTGGAGCTGCTTCAGATTCTGTGTCTCTTTCTCTCTCTGTCCGTCTCCTGATTGTGCTCTGTCCCTTTCTCTGTCAAAATAAACAAACGTTAAAAAAAATGTTTTTTTAAAAAGGAGGGCACTTGTTGGGATGAGCACTGGTGTTGTATTTAAGTGATGAATCACTAAATTCTACTCCTGAAATCATCGTTACGCTCTATGGTACTAACTTGAATTTAAACAAATTATAAATTAAAAACAGAAAACAGGAAAATCCAGCATTTATCCTGCATTTCCAAAGGAACTGTACCACTGAGTCACCAAACCACAGATGAAGAAAAGCCTCTCTCTAAAGCTAATAAATGCGAATGGACTGATAACATGGCTACTTTGCAATCCCTACTGAATCCACGGACTAGGCACTTATCACCAATGGGATCAATCACCACTAATATCACCAAACCAAACAAGGCACCAAGTACCTCCTGACGAAAGAACAGCACCCTGAGTCTGGCCATAGAGGGTGAACCTGTGTGCGCACCTGTGTGCAGTCCGCTGCCTGGATGCAGCTGCCCACTTGCGGGGGGATGTGCTGGGCCCCACCAGGGGTGTTCTGCGGCAAAGGGCCCAATCCTTCAATAAGCTGAGGCCAGGAAGGAAGGGAGACGAGTGTGGACAGCCAGATTCAGACACAGCAGCTTGGTGAGTGAGGTTATACCAGGGCATTTATAAACAGTTACACGTGAGTGATGAGCCCAACTGAACACAGAGAAGTGATTACAATCACAGTCCAGAAGAGTGGGAACTTTCGGAGGAGGGAGTGGGCCACGTTTGGTTGGAGGTGCACAGAAGGGCTTCTGGGGTGGGGGCAGTTCTCACTGGGTGGTGGCTGCCGGAGGCGCCAGAAACCCCCAGGCTATGTGTTTACTTTCCGCATCTGATTTTATTTCACGGCAAGATAAAAGTTTCTATCTGCCATGAGCTTACAACGTGTTGGGTGCTATTTTGAATTCTTTGCATGTATTGACGCATTTCATTCTCTCAAGTACTGTGAAGCCAGTTCTCGTTTCTGTTTTATGGAGAAGGAGACTGAAATAGAAGAGATTAAGTTATAACAAATGTATGGAAAGATACTATATCTCACTAGTAATCTAAAAAATACAAGTTCCATCACGGTACCCTTTTCCCAGCTCTCAGTGGGCAGGAACCTGCAAGTCGGGCAGCGTCCCCACAGGCGGTCACACAGGACACGAGACTAAGGACTAGGGTACGCGGGACCAGAAACCACATGCACTCTGCACACCAGTTACGTGCTGGGCAAGTTCTCACCACGAACACGAGAGGACACCTGCCGAGATGTTCACAGCAAGCTGTTGGTATAAATAAAAACTGGAAGCCACCCAGAAGGGAACAGGATAAATAAAATGTAGCATTTCATAAGGAAAAACAGCAGTTATGATGGACGAAATAGCTCTGTAAATACCAATGTTGATGCTCCTCACAAATGTGCTTAGTGAAAAGAGCAAATTACAAAACGAACCATACGGTGCAGTATGCTTGTTTTAAAAATAGCACAAATATGGGGCACCTGGGTGGCTCAGTCGGTTGAGCGTCCAACTTCAGCTCAGGTCATGATCTCATGGTTTGAGGGTTCGAGCCCCGTGTTGGGCTCTGTGCTGACAGCTCAGAGCCGGAGCCTGCTTCTGATTCTGTCTCTCTCTCTCTCTCTCTCTCTCTCAGAAATAAACATTAAACACATGTTTATCAAACATAAAAAAAAAAACAAAACAGCACAAACACGTAGTCTTTGCTCATGTCTGTGAAGGACTAACACGCGCGAAAAACACAATGGAGCTGGGGCGCCTGGGTGGCTTAGTCGGTTAAGCGTCCGACTTTCGCTCAGGTCATGATCTCGCGGTTCGTGGGTTCAAGCCCCGCGTCGGGCTCTGTGCTGACTGCCAGATCAGAGCCTGGAGCCTGTTTCAGTCTGTGACTCCCTCTCTCTCTGACCTTCCCCTGTTCACGCTGTCTCTCTCTCTCTCTCTCTCTCCTAGAAATAAATATTAAAAACAAAAAAAACCACAATGGAGCTGTGACGATGACAGCCTGCCAGGACGGGGAGGGAGTAGTGACAGATGGGGAGTCAAAGGGCGTTTCAACATTACCTACTTTGTTGTACTTTTAAAAACGCAAAGCAAATGCAGGAAAATGGCCGACCGCTCCCAGGTGGTGGCGACCGCCGCTGCAGAATGCATTAGGCGTGAAGCTAACGCAGCAGCAGCATGGAGGGTACAGTAGCCAGGGGCCATCTCGGAGCTGGCCCGTCCCCGGCGCAGACTCCAGAGCCACCCCCGTCCCTGAGTCCGGCAGCCTCGGCCACTGCAAGGCCCAGCTCATGGGGTGGCTGCACCTAAGGGTGACCACATGTGGACATCTGGGGTGGTGCCTGGCCGAGGAAGCGGCGCAGGACCGCATCACCAGGGCGTGGAGGCGGCCCAGAGGGACTAACGGCAGAAAGGACAGAGGGCTTACAGCTCTGCTCCTTGACCGACTTGCGCACCAGCTTGTGGGCGGGTCCACTCTGCGAACACTCACCGAGCACACTCCGGTGGAGGCACGTAAGCTACAACGTGGTAAAACGTGCAGAGGAAGAAAGAAGGGAAAATGTGCCCAATGACGCTGGATCCAGCCGCTGGCCAAAGACCTAGGGCCAGTTTCCCGGGACTACTGACTAAAAAATAAAACCATCGGGGCGCCTGGGGGGCTCAGTCGGTTGAGCGTCCGACTTCAGCTCAGGTCATGATCTCACAGTTCGTGGGTTTGAGCCCCGCGTCGGGCTCTGTACTGACAGCTCAGAGCCTGGAGCCTGATTCAGATTCTGTATCTCCCTCTCTCCCTGACCCTCTCCTGCTTTCTCTCTCTCTCAGAAGTAAATAAAACATTTTTAAAAAATAAAAAAATAAAAATAAATAAAAAATAAAACTATCTACCAGAGATTTCAGTAGATGTTCTTTCCGAAGAGAAAGTAGAAAGTAAAAACGAGCAACAGCAAAGTTATTCATTTAAGGAAAAAAAAACATCGTTTTGACAACTATGGAAGTTTCAACGTAAACAAAATGTGACTTATGATTTTACGGGGGGTATGTCCGTAAGTACTTACAAATGAAAAAACCAGTAATTTCTAGAATTTGCTTTAGGATAGGCCAGAGAAACCAAAGTAGGACAAGAAGAGCTGAAGCGGCCCGGCCGCCCGGCCCTCGCAGCACCGACGACCTACACTGGGGGAGGCTCGAACACCCGAGAACAAAACCACTGGCGGGCAGGGGGCCGTTCTTTGCCGCGCGAGCCCCGCCACGCTTCACCTGTCCGTGGGAATTAGGGGACACGTGAAGGAGGACACGGCCCCCGAAGCTGACGTCCGCACTGTGCTGCCAGCGGACTCCCGTGCCCCTGAGCCTGCCCCCCGCCCCACATCCCACGGGCCCCAGAGGCGAAGGCTTTACCTGCAGCTCTCCTGGAAGCGGCACTTGCCCTCCAGGAAGAACGGGCAGGGCTTCAGGGACTTCTGCGTGGGGTACAGGTAGAGCACGCGCACGCCCGCCGAGCCGTCGCCCGCCTCCTCGGCGCCCACGATCATGGCGTTGTGGTACTCCAGGGTGCCCCAGGCGCTGTAGTAGGGGGCGTTCACCTTCCTCCCACTCCACGCCTCCGCGTCCGCGCCCTCGCCCTCCTCCTCCTCCCGTCCGCGCCCGCTGCGCTGCGGCCCAGCCTCCCCTTCGGGAGCCGCCTCCAGCTCTGCCCTGGGGGCTGCGGGCCCCTCCGCCCCCTCAGCTACGGCCTCCCGGAAAGCCAGATAGTCGGCGTCGGCCTGGGCCGGGTGCTCGCCGTCCAAGGTGGCCAGCAGCTTGCTCTTCCTGACGGACACCAGGCTGGCCTCGGTGAGCTCGATCAGCTCCTTCAGGTCCCCCTGCAGCTGGCGCAGGTCGGCCAGCTCCGAGGGATCCAGGCCGGCTCCCAGGGCCAGCTCCACCTGCTGCAGCTGGGCGTCATAGGTCCGCAGGGCGCTCTGCAGGCTCTCCTCGTCCATCCCGGACGCACGGCGGGCAGGGGCGCGTCCGCCGGGCCTCGGAGCTGCACGAACAGAAGCCGAGGAGTCCCGGGCCTGCCGCCCTCACCGCCAGGCTACCCCTGCGGGGCCGACGGCTGCACCCCGCGGCCCCCGCGGCAGCCTGCGGGGCCCAGGCGGTTCTCCCTCCCGTCTGGGGGACGCGAAAAAGGGCCGGTGAGGCGATCAGCGCCGAGCGGTAAAGCCGCTGGCTCCGCGGCCTCGGCTCCCGTCCCTCCGCGCCCGACGCCCCCCGCCCCTCGGCCCCGCCCCCCGGGTTCCCCGGCCCGCCTCCGCTCGACCCGTCACCTCGGGCCCCGGCCCCGTCGCCCCAGATCGCGCCCCCTCGCCCGGGCCGGGTCTCTCCGCCTCCGCGCGGGCTTCCCGACCGCCGCCATAGAGACCCCGCGGGCCTCACCGGCTAGAGCGGCCAGCGCTCCGCTTCCGCCCTCGCAGCCCCCAGGCACTTCCTCCAGGGCGCCGCCGCCGCCGCCGGAAGTGCCCGGCGCGAAGACCGCCGGGACGAGGCGCGCGGGGGCCGCCGGGACGGCTGCGCCCTCCCCACGCCGCCGGCTTCAGTCCCGTCGGGCGCCGCGCGAGGTCAGCGCGGGGTCAGCGCGGGTCGGCGGGGTCAGGCGCGCGGCCCGGACGGGCGCGAGGTAGGCCGCGGGTCGGGTTGCCGCCCGCCGGGGCCGGAGCGCGCGGCGGGCGGCCCGCGAGCCCGAGACCTGGTGTCGGGGCCGCGTGTCGGAGGTCGGGGGCGTGGGGCCCGGACGGGCCGCCCCCAGCGGTTGGTCCACGCCACCTGCCGGCCGCGCGGCCTCTCGTGGGCGGCCGCCGCTTCTGGAGGGCGGATCCGCAACCTGCTGGCCGCCCGGCAGCGCGCCGCCTCCGAGGTCGCCCAGGCCGGGGGCGGGGGGTGGGGGGAGGCGTCCTGGGGCTCGGGGGAGCCTGACGTCGCCGCCGGGACGCGGACCGGAACCGGACCTGTCTCCTGGGGGCCGAGTGCCGGGGGGGGGGGCGGCGGGAGTGCGGAGCACAAGGAGTGGCGGCGGGGAGGGCGGGCGAGTGCGGCGGGCGTGCACGGAACGGGGGGTCGGGCCCGGCCGCCGCTCGTCCCGGGTGACGGGTCTCTCCGGGTGCGCAGGGCAGGATGTACACGCTGCTGTCGGGCCTGTACAAGTACATGTTCCAGAAGGACGAGTACTGCATCCTGATCCTGGGCCTGGACAATGCCGGCAAGACGGTGTGTGCCTGTCACGCTCCTCCGCGGGCTTGTCCTGCTGTGCCTTTAGGCTGCGCGGTTCCTGCCCAGAGTCCCCACCAGCTGCCTTAACAGCAAAACGTTGCTCTGTCTGCTTTGCTCTCCAAGAAAAAGGCCAAGGAGGGATATGTGGGGAGTAGGCTGGGAAGGAGTCCCGGCCTCACCTGCGTCTGTCTGTGCCTCCCGGCAGACGTTCCTGGAGCAGTCAAAAACCCGCTTTCACAAGAACTACAAGGGGATGAGTCTGTCCAAAATCACCACCACCGTGGGTCTGAACAGTAAGGGGGTCCCTCAGGCCTGTGGGTGCGTGGGGCAGAGCCCTGCGGGTACTGCGCCGTCTGCAGGCCAGCAGGCGGGTGGGCAGGGCCGCGTGGGGCCTTCATCCCTGGGCAGATGGCGGGGGAGCAGCGCAAGGGCCGTCGCTCCCTGCAGCCGGCGGTGGCGGACAGGGACCTGGGACGTGCAGCCTCACCTGTCTTGTTCTCCCCCAGTTGGCACTGTGGACGTGGGAAAGGCTCGCCTCATGTTTTGGGACTTAGGGGGCCAGGAAGAGCTGCAGTCTCTGTGGGACAAGGTAAGATAGATGCCACGTAGGGTGCCTAGCCAGGCACGTCCCTCAGGCAGTCTCTCCCGGTGACCCCTCTCGGCCGCTTCCTTTCCTCGTAAGGCCTCAGGCTCCCATTTTTCTTTGGTGTCAGCAGTTTTGTCGCCCACTTTGTTCCCCAGGCTTCCCCCGTGGTCCCGTCCCGGTTCCTGGGTCCGTCCCCCGAGAGCATGGATGCGCTTGGTTCCTTTTGACTTGGAGTTTTGCTGGTATCGCAGGACAGGACAAAAGCTGGCCAGGGAACAGGGGTGGGGAAGGTCAGCGAACGCGACATTCCCAGTTCGCCACTGGGGCCGAGTCTTCTCTGCTCTTCAGTTGTAGCTTAGGATCCGGCCTCTGTGGTGGCCTCTTCCCCACCGGGGGAGGGTGTTCTCGGAGGCCGAGAACAGCTGAGGCCTTGATGAGGTCTTTCTTGATGAGGTCTTTCTTGATGAGGGTGTTTCTGGAACCCCGGCGCTGTGCTCCTCCTCCCACACGCCCCAGCACTGGGTCCGTCTTCAGGTCGGCCTGTGCCAGGCGCTGGAGTCCAGCGCGGAGCAGGACAGACCGAGCCTCCCCTTAGGCGGCCCCCTCCTGGTGGATTGGCACGGCGGACTTGGTGCAGCCCAACACTAGGAGCACAGGTGGGCTTGTCTTCACACTCATTCGTCACCTGTGTATTCAGAACTAGCGTCCAGATCCCGGTTTCTTGTTTGACCGCAGCAGCTGGTACCCAGACACCTTTTCCTGGTTTCCCTCTAAAGTGTGTTCTCCGCTCCGACTTCCATCCGAGAGGCCAGCTTCCATCTAGTGGCCAGAAGGTCACCAACAGGTTCTCTGGCTATTTAAGGTCACTGATGCAGAGTGAAGCCAGGGCCTGCTCTTCTGAACCAAGACCCACATTCCTGACACTCTGTCTCAGGCCAGGGTCTCAGGAGCAGATTGGGGCATAGGGTGTGTGTTGAGGACCAGCACCTGGGATGGGAGCTGGGCCGACGCGGGATGGGCAAGGGCAAGGGTCAGCTCAGGTGGCCGGGCCAGCAGGGAGCCCTGCGGGAGAATTCCTTCCTTGCAGCGGCTCCACACCAGGCCAAGCCAACTGGGACTCGTACCGCCTTGTGGGTCACCACAGTGGGCTCCTTCAGGCAGCTGTGACTTGGTAAGGGGTTCTTGGTGGGTTAAAGTAGGTCCCAAAGGAGCCAACTGGCCCATCCATCGGGCGCACTGCCTGCCGCGGGGCTCCTGGGCCGACCGCAGCCCGCCGCGCCCCTTGTAGGGTCCTGGGCCCCGAGCTGGGCGGGGCTCTGCCGGGCGCCTCCTCACACGAGGCTGGGAGAGGGAGAGGAGGCTCTGCGCTTGCCCGTGACCCCTGCCCCAGGTACCACTCCTGCCGATGGTGTGGTTTGTCACGAGAGTCTACGCCCCTGGTCGCGGAGCCCCACCGGGTTCCTCATGAGCTTCCCGGTCCCCACTGTGGAGTGGGGCCCCTGCCTCCTACTGACGGGGTCCCTTATCCCCACCACCGTTGGGTCTTTGCTGGCCCCTGAACACGAGTTGTCCAACGTGCCCAGGAGGCAGCCAGGGTTTGTAACTCAGCAGGTCTCTGGCTGGGCCCTAGGGAATGGGGAGCCTTGGTGGTAACCATAACCCCAACCCTTTGGGGCCCAGAGCTCCGTGGTGCAGCCACGGGTGATGCTGCCATCAGGGTGCCCCCAGCCCTACTCCTGCTCAGCCCCCAGTGTCCGGCTCCCATCGCTCCTGGCACTGCGGGGCCGTCACCTTACACCCCTCTGCCAGGCCGGGTCGTACACCCCAAGGGCAGTGAGGGGAATCCCTGGGCTTGCTGTGAACCCCATGCGGTGCCCCTTCCTGCCACGGAGACCCCTCCCACAGGGCCTGCCAGCTCCCAGTTCTCAGCAGCGAGACGGCGCCTGTAGCCCTCGCGCCACCCAGCACGTCAGCTGTGGGGGTCCCTGCGTGTGTGTGACTCGCGGGCTGCGGGACTCAGGTGGCTGCATGTAGCTGGCGCGGATCATGCCCTCGTCACACTCGAGAACTCCCCGGAGCTGTCTGGCGCATCCACAGGGTCGTCGGCTCGCTGACCACGAGCTCTTGGTGTCTGGTGTCTTGTGTGTAACGTGCGGATATTCCAGGCCTCCGGGCTCTAGTGACAAAGGGGCAGAGACGCTGCAGTCTGCTTGCCGCATGTGGACACTTCCAGTCTTATTTTTCATTTAGGGTACAAGGGGGCCTCACCCGATCTGCGGTTGTGTCACCCGTGCCCCACACGCCCAGGGTCCACCCCCACGTGCCCTGTTCTGTGTGTCTGTCTTTGCGATGCTCTTTGCCACATAACCCTTCCCCACGCCCTGGGCTGGTGCCGCTGCTGTGTGCACGCCGACGGCTACCTGCCTCCTGCCCCAGTACAGCCACAGGGCTCAGTGCTGCCGGCCTGGTCCTTAGCCCTGGCTCTCCCTCCCCTTGGTGGCTTTTCTCTGGCTCGTGAATAGTATGGCTGTCAGGCTTGCCATCCACACTGGCACGTGATCTGGCTAGCACCCTCCCTCCACTCCCAGGGCTGCCGAAGTGGGGTTTGCGGGCACGGTACCTGGGAAGTGGACAGGGTGTCCCCCAAGGTCAGCAAGAAGAAGTCTAGGGCCATCTCACTCTACTCTACCTTCCCCCCGCCCCCCCCATGGCAGCTCAGAAGGGTCTTCCAGTTGGCAGCTGGCCCTGGGGTGGCCAAGTGCCTGTGGCCCAGCACCCCCTTTCTCCCCCTCCCCAGTACTACGCGGAGTGCCACGGTGTCATCTATGTCATCGATTCCACAGATGAGGAGAGGCTGTCCGAGTCCAAGCGAGCGTTCGGTGGGTACAGCCTGGCCAGGGCTGGGGAAATGGTCAGGTCCAGTGTGCCCATCCCAGGTGCCTGGAGCTGGCCTCGGTGGGAGATGGGGTGCACACCAGGTCAGGCAGGGCCGCAGCCAGGAGAGAGCGCACACCTGTGGAGTGGAGGGGCGGGTGGGCCCAGGCAGCCACAGGCAGATGAAGGGTGCTCACTGCCCCCTTATTGCCCACCCCAGAGAAGATGGTCACGAGTGAGGCGCTGGACGGAGTCCCCATCCTGGTGCTGGCCAACAAGCAGGACGTCGAGGTGAGCCTTTTCCCATGGCATGCCCGCAGGGCAGTTTCCAGCAGAAGCACGTCCCACTGACAGCAGGGACAGGGTGCCTGTCCTGGACACCCCAGGCCATGTGTGCCCTGGGTGCACATGGGCCTCCTGAGGCGCAGGGTGCCTTCACGGCACAGGTGGGCAGGCAGGCCTGATCCCTCTGCCACTGGCGTGGCTGGACACAAGACGCGAAGGTGTCCCAGTGTGGGAGTTGGCTCCTATCTTGACCTGCCTGCTGCCCTTGGGATCACCCCAGCTGCCCAGTGGCTGCTCGGTGGCCATCTGCACGGAGAGGGCTCGGCAGAGCAGTGCCCTGGTTCTGCAGCACAGGCGCCCTAGGGCCAGGGTGCCTTGGAGATGGCTTCCATCTTCTGCCCTCGCTTTCCTGTGGGCCTTCCGGGAGATGCTGCTGCTGCTCCTCTTGAGCCTGCCCACCGCAGGCCCCCCGTCCCGGGCAGACAAGCCCTGAGCCCGGCCCCTCGCCACCAAGGCCCGGTCCCGCCCCAGGGGCAGGGCGCCGCCCACGGGGCTGCCGCTCACAACTTTGCCGTCCCCCAGACTTGCCTCTCCATCCCCGACATCAAGACTGCGTTCAGCGATTGCACCTCCAAGATCGGCAGGCGCGACTGCCTGACCCAGGCCTGCTCGGCCCTCACTGGGTGAGTGGGGCTCTCCCCGCCGTGGGCTGGGGGGCCACAGCTGGCCTCACCTCACGCCAGCTGTCTCCACAGCAAAGGGGTTCGCGAGGGCATCGAGTGGATGGTGAAGTGCGTCGTGCGGAATGTGCACCGGCCGCCGCGGCAGAGGGACATCACGTAGGCATGGCTGGTGCCCGCTGATGCCCACAGCTCACCCCTGAGTGCCCGAGGAGCGCTCCTGCCGGCTCCGAGCCGCCAGGCCTGGGGGTCGGGTTTGCTTTGCTCTTGGTTTTTTCAGTTGCTTTGTTTTTTCTTTAAGACAAATGTTTCCCTGTGTCCGTAAAAGTGTAGGCATGCAGGGGCTTCTGCTGAGGGGAGTCGGGGCAGCCGGGCCAGGCTGGGTGCCACACAGATGCCATCACGGGACCCCCACAGGACCCTGCCCAGCCTGCTGGTGTTGGCAGGCCACCTGGCCCTCTGGAGCTGCCGCGCCAGCAGTCCGGCCTGCCTGGCCCAGGGGGCTGAAGGGCACCTGTCTGGAAATGAGGTTCTCCAGAGCTGCTCTGTGCCGCTCACCCATGGAGGAGGCTGGTGGGGTCAAGTGTGTCCTCAGTCTCTGTCTGTGGGCCTGGAGATGGGGTGGGGGCTGGTGTCATCTTGCAGGAGACCTGGCCCACTTTGCTGAAGGCCAGCAGGGCCCTGGGTTCTGATGCCTCAGACCAGGGGATGGACATCTGCCTGGGAGGCCCCGTGTCCTCTTCCACTGGCCTAACGTCCAGTCAGGGAGGGAGTGGGTGTTCCCTCTGTGTCTGCTGCTGGTCCAGAACAGCCAGCTGCCAGTGGGGGGCAGGGGGTGCACCAGTGAGGGTGTTAGGAACGTGGGCTGGGTTCCTGTGGAGCCCAGGCCTGTGGTGGGATGGGCCTTATTTCTACGTTGGGGGTGAGGGGTGGGGTCCCTGTCAGGTCTGGGGACAGGCTGCCTAGAAACCCGTTTCCGGGTCTGTGCCTGGAAACGCCCTCCAGCCGAGGCTGGTCCATGGGACCCTCACCACGTGGCCCCTGTGGGAGCTGGCAAGACCCACCGGGCGTGGGCCTGGCCTTGGGCAGGAGGCTGACTGGCTAGTGCTGGCTCGAGTGTGCCAGAACAGTGGTGGTCTGAGTCACTGCTGTTTATTGTCCCTCCAGAAACCCAGGACTGGGCGGGGGGCTCCCAGGCTGGACTCGGGGCCTGTCTGGCACCACCTTCCTGCTTCTGTGGAAGTGGTTGAGCCAGAGCCAGAACCCTGGTCCCACCAGACTGCCCTCCCTCTGTGGCGGGGGCCTGGGCGGGCTGAGTCAGGGCTGGGAGTGGGGATGCAGGTGAGGTGACTCATGGGGAGTCATGGGCTGTGGGGTTCCCCCGCTGCCCCCACACCGGGACCCATCATGGGGATCAGGCGCCAGGCTCCCGGGCTCACCAGGAGGGCTGGGAGTCCCCCGGGTTGCTCTGGAGCAGCCCAGCCCTCATCTGAGCCTTCCTGAGGGGAAAAGCCTGGTTTCCCAGAAAGCACGCAGGATGCACCCGGCCTAGGGGAGGGCCTTGGCTTGTCCCCTCCTGGGAAGTCCCCTGTTTGCAGTAACTGGGTGGAGCTCAAACGGAGAGGCAAGGTGAGAGGCCAGGTTGGTGCTGGCCAGTCCATGCTGGGCCCTGTTCCACAGTGAGAGCTCCCAGACTGGGCAGGGCCCTCCTCGGCACAGGCCCCACACAGCTGTCCTAGCCACAGAACGTGTCTTAGGGGGCCTGGGGCGAGCCTCAGGGATCTCCACTGCGCCCACGCCAGTAGGGATGCACCTGTCACCCGCTGGTCCCTCCCATCTAGGGTCTATCCCACTTGGGGTGCCCAGCAGCCAGAGGAAGCATGGGGAGCTGGAGAGCCCATGGCAGGTGTTTCCCACCAGATGTGCCCGCCATGCACTTGGTAGACACGGCGCAAAGTTCGATACAATCCATTATATAGAAACAGCTTTATAAAAAAAAAAAATAAACTTTGTTACTGCAACGGGACCCCAGTTGGTTGAGCTTACTTTTTAGTGAGCCATTTTGTGGGGGGGCAGGAATGCCCATGTGAGGCCACAGTTTGGGAACAGAATAAATAGTGGGTGGGGCGGTCAATGTGCCCAGAAGCGCATGCGGACGCTGCGCTCCAGCCCCAGCAGCCGGGCCTCGTGCAGCGCCCGAAGCAGCCGCGCCGCCAGAGCCCCAGCCTGCGCCTCCCGGAGCTCCAGGAGCTGCCGCCTCAGCTGCGGCTGCAGGCCGCCGCGGCCCTCCCTGGGCGGCACCGGGCCTTGCGCCTCTGGGCCCATGAGCGCCTGCCACAGCCGCAGGAGCCTCTTGAAGGACCAGTCCTGGAATGCCACGAAGTCGATGACCGCACGCTCACATTCCTCAGCCTCTGTGGGGGGGCGGGGGGGGGGGTGTCAGGACCCAGTGGTAGAGGCCTCTGTGCGGGGGGCACCTGAGCACCCGCCCGGGGGGAAGTCCCTGCCCACTAACAGGCCCGGTGCAGAGGTGGAAGAGGAGGGTGGGGGCCGCAGGGGTGGGAGGAGAGATGCAGTTTAAACTCCCTGAGAACCAGCTTCCCAAGGTGGGGGGTGGAGGGTAGTGTGGCCTCCTGGCGCACCGGTGCCAGCCCCCCAGCCCACCACCCCCGGTCAGTGTCTGGAGGACCTTCCCAAAGGCTGGGTAAAGGCTGCAAGCCTCGGGGCTGGACGCTCGCCTGGGGACAACAGGGGACGGGCCGACCTCGTCCTCTGACTCACCCGCCCCTTCCCCTGCTCACCTGGCGCCCCTGGCTCCGGGGTGCCCGGCGGGAAGCCGGCGCAGCTAGTGCACAGGGCGTCGTGGGAGGCGGAGCCAGGCACGTTGAGGACGAGGCCCAGGGCCGTGCAGTTGCGGTGCGGCTGGCACTGCTCCGAGCTCGAGCTGCTGGCCGAGAAGGTGCCTGGAGGACACGGCTGGCACTGCGTGTTCTGGCTGGCGGTGCCTGGGGACGAGACGGGGAGGAAGGGGTCAGGGAGGCCTGGGGGCCCGTCCTCACTGGTGGCCGCCGCCCGCCGGCCCTGCCGCGCACCGGGAACAGTCACCCCCGCGCCGGGCGGGCAAGGCGCGTGCTCCAGGCAGAAGCCCGCGTGAGCGAAGAAGCCGGGGCGGCAGCGGCAGGCGCGGTTGTGGGTGGCGTCGCAGGGCCGCGCCTCCTCCTCGCGTTCCCCGCAGATGACGTTGCAGTAGCGGCAGCGCTCCAGGTAGTTCCAGAACTGAGTGTAGTGGCGTGGGGGACACGCGCCGCACGTCGTGGGGGCGTCCCGGCGGCACGGCCGCTGCACGAAGGTGCCCGGGGGGCACTGGCCGCACACCAGCCACTCCCGGGTCTCCGCGTCCCGCCACGGGTAGGTGAGCGCACCCCCCGCCGCCGCCGCCGCCGCCGCGTGTGCCGCCAGAGCCAGCAGGAGGGTGGGCAGCGCCCACGGCCGGGTCAGGGGCGGCGGCCCCCGCCTCTCCAGCGCCCACATGATAGTCACCGGAGCGGCGGCTCGGCCTCCGGGGCGCCCAGGAGCGGAGACACTGGGACGACTCGCCCTACCCTACCTGTCGCCTCTCCACACGCTCCCCGGCGGCGGCCAGCGCCAGCCTATAAGGAAGGGCCGGCCTCGCCACGCCCTCGGGGAGGGCTCACGACCTCCACCGCGCGCGCTGCGACCAGGCTTTCGGCGGCGTCACGGCCCCTCCCTCCCCAAGAGCCCCCTCTCCCCGCCCTCCCCCCACCCCCCGCCGGGCACCAGCCTGCTCGGGGCGTTAGTCCAGGGGCCGTCCTGCAAGTCCAGGGCCCCCCCCCCCCCCCCAGAACCGGGGGCAGCTCCTGACCCAGGACCAGGGCTGGCAGCCGGGGTGCAAGTTGGAGACGCCTGGCTCCTCTCTTCCCTGGCATCGTCTATCCTCCCGTCCACCTGTGAGGACGGAGGCTGAGCCCAGTTGGGACAAAGCGCTCAGTGTGCCCTTTTGCCGACAGGGTGGGACAACCCTACTCAGATGCCCACATCTACCTTCCCAGCACCCTCAGACCCCACTACCAACCAGGCCCAGAGCCTACAAACAGCGTCTGGAAATGGTATCGGCAACTTTATTAGAGAACCTGTCACCTGATTAAAAGAGGGTCCACTGCCCACACACAGGTCCCCGAGGGGAGGGGGCAGAGCGCTCCCCCACCTTCCAGTCCTGGGCTCAGGCCTCCGCAGCCAGGCTCCTGAGGCTCCAGTCACAAACGAGCCGCCAGGATCAGTTCTGAAGATGCACCTTGTAGCCGACCCTCCCCAGACCCTAAGGCGACTTCGGGGGCTTCTCCCAGGCAGGCCCCGATCCTGCCGCCATTTCAGGGACATCCCCACGGGCACTGGCCTGGCCCGCACCCCGGGAAGGGACAAGAGTCCGAGCTGAGTCTGGGGCAGAGGCGGCGTCGGCCTGGCGGAGGGTGTCCAGCCTCACTGGGGCTCTGGCCAGAAGACCTGCGTGATGCTCTGCTTCCTGGCACGGGCGTGGCAGGCCGGGCACGTCCTAGAGGCCTGCGGAGACAGGGGAGTGCTGCACAGGCGCCTCCGCCCCCGGGTGGGGGACGCGCAGCGGGGGGTCCGCAGGGTCCCGCCGCCAACCTGGAGGAGCCGTCGCCAGCAGGCCCGGCAGCGGTGGAAGTTGCAGGAGGGGCACTGGAAAGGGACCGTGTCCTCCGCCCCGCAGCCGGCGCACGCCGAGCCTGCTCCAAGGGGGCCGCTGTGAGCGCCGCGCCAGCTGCGCCGCCCCCCGGCCCACGCTCCCCGGGGCCCCGCGCAGACGACCTACCGGACTCGGGCTGCGCGTGCCTGCGGGGGGCGCTGGGGGGCTGGCTGGGAGCCCCCGCACCCCCGGCCTGCCTCCGTCTCAGGAAGGCAAAGATCTTGCTCTGGGTCCTCCCGGGATTCTCCTGTGCTGGGGGGCCTGGAGACACAGGAGGGCCGTTCGGGCTTCTCCGCGGCCCCCCCCTGCTGGGCTCCCTGGGGGCACCGGGCAGACCCCCTCTCCCCACCTGGCTGGGAATCACGGCGGGCGAGGTCGGGAGGCACGGTGGGGGTCCCCTCCCGGGGGCCCGGCGGCTCAGTGCCCGCGCTCGGGGCAGCCGGGCCCATCAGGTCCGAGCACACCTGCCGGAAGCGCTGCTGGTGATGAGGCCTCAGGAACGCGCCAAACCCTGTGGGGGGAGCGGTCAGGCCCCGCCCCCGCGGCCTAGCCCCGCCCCCGCGCTCCGGCCCCGCCCCCCGCGGCCACTTGCTCTGCAGCAGGTCCAAGTCTTCAGGCCTTGAGGTAGTGAGTGCGGCCGCCACGGCCACCACCTTCTCGAAGTCGTCGTCCTGTCTGTAGGCGGTCAGCGCTGCCAGGAGCCGGCTGCAACCCGCAGACCCCAGGGCCTTTCGGACGTCAGCCAAGTAGGTGCTCCCGGCAGCCTGGCCTTGCTTCTCTGCCCTGGGGGCTCCAGATCCCCCCTCTTTTGGACAACTGCTGGGGGCTCCTGGGAGGGAGGTGAACAGGTGGGTGTCTGAGGGCCCAAGGGAGCTCACTGACACCCTTCACACCAGTGTTCTCCCTCGTTCTGGGGATGCAGAACCAGGACAGCCCCCAAGAGAGCGCCCCCAGGGAGGACGCCAGCGCTCTTCTGCTCTGCTCCAAAGCCTCTCTGGGCACAGGGGAGCTGGTACCTGTGGGGACCGGCCCAGACACCAGGTGAGGCCTGCCTTGGTTCAGGTGCTGTCCGGGGTCCAGCTGCCAGGCTGCACCTTGGGACAGGATCAGCTTTGAGTCACACTCCCTTCTTCCTGAAGAAACGGGGACACACAAGGAGCCACCCAGCTAGTTCCCAAGGGCCTGGAGTGGTCCCTGGGGACGAGGCAGGTCTGCCCAAGGGGAGACTGACACCTGCCACCCTCCTGACCACAGTACGACCAAGGCTTGAGCCCCCACCACAGCCAACTGCTGCCAGGGGGCCAGCAGAGACACCCCAGCGGGCACGAAGCCCAGAAAAGAGAGGGGTGACTCTTGAGCAGGAAAATCCCCTCCTGGGGGCCTAGGGGTCTTCCTAAGCCAGGCCCCTCTGACACCTGTCCTTGGGGAAGTCCCTGCTCAGGGGTGAACTCTAACAAATGGGGACACGGGCTCTGAGGTGCAGGGCCCACTCCTGGCAGACACAGTTGGGGACAGGGTCCCAGTCTGGGTCATGCATGCTCTGGGTCATGGCTTCCCCTAAACGGCCTCCATACATGAACAGTCCCACGCAGGAGCAGGGAGGTTGGGCCAAGCTAGCACTGCCCTCCCCCCCAGGACCCTGGGTGCCCCACTGCTCACCCCCAGGTGCCTGGGCTGATGATGCGTCCTGCCTCTGAGGAAGGCTGTGCTCGGGCCGGTAGCCGCAGCCGTGGCCTGTCCGCTGCCGGCAGACTTCTTCAAATCGCTGCTTGTGGTGCGGCCGCACAAACTGGTAGAAGCCTGTTGGAATGGTTCCTGTGCTGAGCTGGGTGGAGGGCTCTCAGGTCATGGGCCACGCACCCGCACCTTCCCTAGGGAGCAGTGACAACCATGGACCCTGGTGCCTGCCTGCACCCCCTCCCCGCCACGGCTGCGGCACCACCCCCCCCGGTCGGGTGACCCCCAGAGGCCAGGGCACCTTGAAGCAGGCTGTGCTTCTTGGGATCCTCAGCAAAGAGCGGGCCGAGACAGGCCACCAGAGCCTCAAAGTCGTCAGAGCCTTTGTAGTCCTGCAGGGCCCTTGTGAAGGTGTCAAAGCTGGCCTGGCTCAGCGCCTGCTTCACGGCCACCATGAACAGCTTGGCCCTGCCCGCCTGCGTGCTGGCCGCCGGCCGCTCCTGCTGAACGAGGGCCCGGGGCCCCATCAGTCGGGACCCACCCTCCCCTGTCTCAGGGACGCTGGGATGCTGGTGTGAAGCTTGTGTGCTGGGAAGCACGCCCCAGATTCGGCTGGCCTGGCCCTGGGAGGGAATCCACAAAGATGGCCATGCCCCTCGGAGAGCAGCAGAGAGGCCAAGTGTAGATTTGCTTCCCCTGGGCC